GCGCGGAGGAGTATCGTATTGTTCTGTCGACGCATACCGGCCGGCGCAGGCGCACTTGAGTCAACACGCGAAACGAAACCAGCAGCGTTCGATGTCACGGCCTCTGTTTTGTTGATATTTCCTACGAGTTACAAGGGAATAAAGAAATTTTATTGCGTGTAACGTAAGGACGGCTCGTAGTCGTAGCGCAATTGTACACGAAATAGGACGCAGTTCTCAGGTCTTTGCTTTCGAATTCCACATTTTATGACCCGTGTTGTTAATTAATTTTCATTACAATCTGCTTATTAAATTTTACTTTTACGAAGTTGTAACTATTTACTCATTCATTGTGTCCCTCAGGAAAAATGCCCGTACACTAGGTGTAGGCAGGCACTGATGATAGAAATAAGTGACGGGACTTGTAAATCATTTAACATTTCTGTGATTCTAGTACGAGTATACTATACTCGTAATAGTCTTTCTAAGATAAAGTAGTTTACAATGTGAAAGCTACGGGAAGATGAAGAAGCTTATTTTATTTTTATTCTCTCTCTAAAACTCTTAAAATTTAGAAGTAGGTAATTTAAACTTTTTTTGCATTAATTTAAATAAAATAAAAACCGAACCCTTTTCTAATAAGCTTTCAAACACATAGCGGCGACCTTTAAAGAATATTAACGCAATCTTTATGATTAAAGCATGAAATGAAGACCTCTTTACGAGGGCTGTTATACAGGGTGGAATTTGGTAATGGCCACCTGGAGGGAAAGTACTCTTAATACTGTGGATAGAAAATTTAACTCAAAGAAAATATTCCTTTATTTTTGAATAGAAATAGAACTGCATTCAAATATTTCCAAAAATTTGCTTACCACATCCGAGAATCGAACCAACTAAAATCTGTTGAAAATTACACCCTATATTTTTATTGCACCGATCGTTAGGGTTAAGTATAAGGATGAAATCTCTCTAACAAAACCATGAAATCTTAAATTATTTTAATTATTTTACAGGAAAATTGTATGGAATGGTGGTGAATTTTCAAAAATATTCGGAAATCTTTGAATGCAGTTCTTTTTCTTTTCAAAAATAAAATAATATTTTCTTTGAGTAAAATGTTCTATCTACAGTATTACTACTAATTCCACCCTGTATAGAACCTAAACAAATTGAAAAAAGTTACCTTTTTTCAAAGGTAATTTATGTTTATTGATATAAGGGGATTATGATTAAGGTAATTGTTAATAATAAGTAATTGATGATAAGTATAATTAAATTGTAACTTCAAGTAATTTATATTCGGTTTTCCGTTAAAGGTCTAATCGTAATCGACGCTTAAATATCAATTCTATGTGCGTCTCAAAAATGTTAATTTGTCAATCATTTCCCTGCTTCGTTTATTTATTATTCACATTTCTTTAGTTTCAATATTTCAAAATTTCTTTAATTTCAATATTTAGATCAATCACAGAACAGAACAAACAGATTAAATTGAGTTTTAAGCGCGAATTCTGTCATTTATAATCTAATGCTTAGGCTGAATTGCACCACCTACTCAACTTTAACGGTTACTATACCAATGCTTTTGGAGGTTAAAAGATTTTTGACCTTTGTTAAGAATAAAGTAAGATGGTGCAACCCAGCCTTAATCTATGACTTATAATAAATCTGTAGAGAGGTCAATTCTGTACATGAAAATTCATGAAATATATTTTCAAAATAACTATCAGGGGGTGATTACTGATTAGTGGTCGATACTGATGCCAAAAATGCAATCGGTAAAATTTTTGTCTGTCTGTCTGTCTGTATGTTCCTTATAGAAACAAAAACTACTCGACGGATTTTAACGAAACTTGGTACAATTATTCTTAATACTCCTGGGCAGGTTAAAGTATACTTAGGAATTCCCATGGGAACGGGAATTAGCGGGAAAATCCTTTTGTATGTAAAATCTAAACCGCTTAAGTTAGACGCTTGAAATTTGGCATGCAGGTATCTTAGTAAACTTAAAGCTTAGTTACAACAGGATATTGCAAAATTCCCACGGGAGCAGGAGTTAGCGGGAAAAAACATTTGTATGAAAAAATCTAAACCGCTTAAGTTAGACACTTGAAATTTGGCATGCAAGTATCTTAGTAAACTTAAAGCTTAGTTACAACAGGATATTTCAAAATTCCCACGGGAACGGGAGTTAGCGGGAAAAAACATTTGTATGAAAAAATCTAAACCGCGTAAGATAGATGAAGGGGATAAAACGTGATCCACGCGTACGAAGTCGCGGGCGGCCGCTAGTATTTAATAATAAGTATAAAGCNTGTCATTTGCTTACCACATCCGAGAATCGAACAAACTAAAATCTGTTGAAAATTACACCCTATATTTTTATTGCACCGATCGTTAAGTATAAGGATGAAATCTCTCTAACAAAACCATGAAATCTTAAATTATTTTAATTATTTTACAGGAAATTGTATGGTATTGTGGTGAATTTTCAAAAAAACTTCGGAAATCTTTGAATGCAGTTCTCTTTCTTTTCAAAAATAAAAGAATGTTTTCTTTGAGTAAAATGTTCTATCTACAGTTTTAAGAGTACTTTCCCTCCAGGTGGCATTACAAAATTCCACCCTGTATAGAACCTAAACAAAAAAAATGTTACCTTTTTTCAATGTTTCATAAATTTTTTTCAAAGATATTTTTTATTGTTATAAGGGGATTACGATTTAGATAATTGTTTAATTGATAATAAGTATGATTAAATTTTAACTTCAAGTAATTTATATTCGGTTTTCCGTTAAATGTCTAATCGTAATCGACGCTTAAATATCAATTCTATGTGCGTCTCAAAAATGTTGATGTTAATTTGTCAGTCATTTCCCTGCTTCGTTTATTTATTATTCACATTTCTTTAATTTCAATATTTAGATCAATCACAGAACAGCACAAACAGAGATTAAATTGAGTTGCGGATTCTGTCATTTATAATTTAATGCTTAGGCTGAATTACACCACCTACTTAACTTTAACGGTAACTATAACGATAACCGATGCTTTTGGAGGTTTAAAGATTTTTGACCTTTGTTAAGAATAAAGTAAGATGGTGCAACCCAGCCTTAATCTATGACTTATAATAAATCTGTAGAGTGGTCAATTCTATACATGAAATATATTTTCAAAATAACTATCAGGGGGTGACTACTGATTAGTGGTCGATACTGATGCCAAAAATGCAATCAGTAAAATTTTTGTCTGTCTGTCTGTCTGTATGTTCCTTATAGAAACAAAAACTACTCGACGGATTTTAACGAAACTTGGTACAATTATTCTTCATACTCCTGGGCAGGTTATAGTATACTTAGGAATTCCCATGGGAACGGGAATTATCGGGAAAATCCTTTTGTATGTAAAATCTAAACCGCTTAAGTTAGACGCTTGAAATTTGGCATGCAGGTATCTTAGTAAACTTAAAGCTTAGTTACAACAGGATATTGCAAAATTCCCACGGGAGCAGGAGTTAGCGGGAAAAAACATTTGTATGAAAAAATCTAAACCGCTTAAGTTAGACGCTTGAAATTTGGCATGCAAGTATCTTAGTAAACTTAAAGCTTAGTTACAACAGGATATTGCAAAATTCTCACGGGAACGGGAGTTAGCGGGAAAAAACATTTGTATGAAAAAATCTAAACCGCGTAAGATAGATGAAGGGGGTAAAACGTGATCCACGCGTACGAAGTCACGGGCGGCCGCTAGTATTTAATAATAAGTATAAAGCTCTTTTGATAGTGATGATGTTACGGTAAAAGACATTTATTTTCTCAAATGTTTTGTCTATTATCGCTTCAGATTGTGACTTCACGCGTACATTACGATCAGAGCGTTCACATAGTAATCCCACATTTCGTAATCAAATAGCCTTTGTAAAATCTCATCTACTTTTTCTTCTTCTTTCATTCTAAATTCAAATCTCATCTACTTTTTCTTCTTCTTTCATTCTAAAAGAACTTATAAAATCCTATTCCATTGGAATGATAAGCTTTTCTCATAATTAACTTTTTTCACCTCTGCAATTTTCATGTAGTTTGCAAATCTCCGAGTAATCATCTATCTCTAACTAACCCCAACACTTAGGAATATGAACTTGTGATGGTTCCATTCGATTGACTAACATTTTATTGATTTTCAGCCACTTCAAAATCAGTTTCAGTTAATTGAAATATAATCGGGTTTTCAGTTTTAAGAAAGTGTTTTAGAAAAATTGTGTTTGAACTACCACCACTCAGTTTCTGTTTAATAGCACTACAATCGCAAGATTTAGGCCTGAGAATTAGTAAAGAACAAAAGTTTGTGATTGTAGTGGCCGGCGACGACCGCGTGCTACGCCGTAGCGACTCTATCAGTAATTAACCGCAAAAGTTTTAAATGCAGAAACTAAACCGTAGAAACACTAAGTATGTTTTCAGAAATCAATTTAAGACACACTTCTTATTTTCTTCATTATTTTACATAATTGATAAATTATATTTAATTAGTTGTGGCTATTCTTCATAATTAGTTTATAAGTTAAGAGTTTTCAACCATCTTTTTAAAATTGTAGAGCTTTTATTTTGTCCTGAAGTTGTATATCGTTACACGTAAACTAATCAAGTCCTGTATAATTATGTAAAGTGTTCTAAGGCTACAATTATATTAAATATGTGAGTTTTTATGAAATTTTAAAGGAATTTCTTACTCTACCAAGCTTATAATATCTAATTAATGTCGTATGTAATTTTATCGATATTTAAATTCTAATGTTAATAAGCAATTTAGGCTGATTTTAGATATTCTAACTATAAACTTTTAAATAGAATACTTAGTATTAAGTATCATCTTTGTCCTTGTTAAAGCGTTACGTAATATCTTTTTGTAGGCCATAATCTGGTTAATTCTACACAAGTCGAGAATTGTCTCATTCATGAATCGAACTCTTAATTAATTTGTCCATTGACAATCAACAATGTTAATTAATGAGGTCAACATACCTGCTGAAGGCCCAAAAGTGGCTGCGAACAGCAACAGGCAAGTGGCCAGAACGAGCTGCATGGCGAGAGTTTAGCGGGTATCTGCGACGGAGGTAGGCACTCGCTGAAGTGCGCTCGCGCAACACGGGACACTCGGGCACACTGACGCGCGCTGCCCTGGACCCCCCCTTATAACAGAGACGCATCCCGCTCGCACCACGGCATATTCAAATCTTCGACCACAACACCGCGCGTCTTCCGTTGCCCCGTATACACCGCGCGCTCCACGCCAGATGCGCAGGAGTCGAGCCGTGCGCACGCGGCGATGTAGCGGGCGCCATCGCCGGAGCGCGACGGCGCGCGGCAAGGAGTCGTCCGCCGCGGACGTCCGGCGGCGGGCGGACGCTCGGCGCCCGCGCTCCTCGACACGGGAGTTATCTCGGCAAATCGTACCGCACAATAGTTCGCGCTCAATTTGTTCTTGTTGCGGTCGACGCGAATTCTTCGCTTGTCCAAAAGGGTTGTCGTAGTTTTTTCTCGACTCACGATACGCCGCGCTCAAGGGTGTGCCTTTGTTATATCTCCCATTGAAGATCGGACACGCAACCCATCTGCAATTATTGCAAGCATACTAATTTATACTTACAACTTCAGATGCGTGAACAAAAAGTAAGTTGAGAATCTTTTTTATAGGCTCATAAATCGGCGCAAACCGAGAAACATCTATTATGTTGCCTCAGTTCAGTAATTTGAATCGAATATTCTTTAACTCTCACGGAGAGATTACATAGTAAATTATTTACTTTCGTAATGTTGAGAGATGGTTTTTGCCTTTTTTTGTGGGAAACAAAGTAAACTGAACCTTTTCACATTTACCAATAGCCTCGAGGAGAACCTATTTCATATTTCAGTGTAGCTGGCTTACTTTCTGAGATGATGATCACTTCGCAATTTGGAACTCTTTAAAAGATTTTTTAAACCCAAAAAGTCCTTATATGCAAGATGTATTAACTAAAGAGTAAATGGAAGGAAGAGCCAAGCCCAAGAAACGGACAGAGGTCACGTGTAAGTACAACCAACTTGGATACATNGGATACTTAGCCGGAATGTGAATGTTTACAAAACGTGCAGTTTACTTGGTTTTTGCCAAAAATAAACAAGAGCAAAGGGCACCAGTGCCGCTCTGTCGCTCGCAGACCTGGCAAGCATGCACTCGCATCGTCTAGATGACGCCAGAATTTTAGAATGTCCCTCCACTTTGCTTGCCATGCTATGGCTCAAAAGTTCGCCATGACTTGTCAGCAATAAATATACTAAGAGCGACTGTGAAGAACTTGAGGCGTCCAGCGCACTCGTTGACCTAACAAGCATGCAGTCTGAAGTCACAGTAAATTATGGTCACGGTCTTGCAACTTTGACACGGGGACACTCACCGGAATGTGCCACCACTTTACATACCAGCGACCCGAGAGGAGTCCCTGTTTTCCAAGCACTCCGTATTAGCTCCAAGAATAAATATTTACTACTTGGAACCGACCTTGTGTACAAACAGCCAGTATAGGAAGTTATTCTCGTGTGATAGAGTCACAAAATTGTTCGAGCCGTATGAAAATCAATCAATGTGAAATTGCAACAGACATCATGTTTTTTTTTTCAATCTTATTTATAATCTCTTAATTGCAAAAACCCTATTAACTATCACATAAAAACATCACAAAAGTTGTAGAGAAAAATATACGTATTTTTCAAACATCATAAATATTTGAACAACAATTTAGGCGTCAATTAAATGTGAAAACTTTTCAAATTCAAGTTTTAATTTTATCGTTAAGAGCTTTAACTGCAAAAGCTTTAACATATATGAAATTCATTCTTTTCTTGTTTTTATGCGTGCATCGTCGACGATTTTGTTACTTCCAATTAGCAATTATCATTAGACCCTATCTATCCATAAATACACGTGCGGTAAAGCCGATTCGTTCCATATTAAACTCTTGCATAAACGAATATCTCTCAAATCCAGTTACTTGATTCATTCCCGGCTAAACGAACTCGTTTGCAGCATTAAATACGATATTATTCAAAACTTAGCTTCGCTAATTATAGCACCTTAAAAAATATTAAAAGATTTTAATGCTCCATTGAACTCTCAATACAAGACACTGCACTTAAAATGGGCTGGGCAAGGGCTGAACTGCACTGGCTCAGACGAATTTAAAAATCTCTTTTAATCGCGATACCTATCAGTATTGTTTTACATCCGATGAGTTATATTCAGCGGCGATGCGAGCAGATAAAATAAAATTCATGGTTTTGTTTTCGTAAAAAATCAAAGTATTACATTAATAGCTGAAAAAGAAGCAAAAGTGCAAAGATTCGAACGATATAGATATTTTTTCCTCGGTAGATGTTACGCCGCTTGTAGAGCGCTGTATTAAAGGGTAGCATGACTTCGATGTTTTGAATAATAGCAACAATAGGACCGCACAGGCGCCCAAACAAAACTATATTGGTGCGCAGTTACAAACTCGCAACGGTCCTTATAAATGCGTTGTATCTGGTCGAAAGACGTGAAATAAATTGCGCTCGTTTTGTTATTACATGCGTAGGTATCTGCCGTATCGCGTAATGTAAGGTGTACAACATGTAATACCCTGCTCGCTTATCAATCTCCTGGTACTCATACATAAACAAGAAGCGAGCAACTATTAATTTTATTAAGGATATTAGGTGTATTAAAATAGGACTTTATACAAGAGCTGGATGAGACGGCGATTAAATTAAGTAGAGTTTGTCGGTGATAATAGATACTCCCGTCGTACATTCATTCTAACGTTTTAAAGGTGCGTGAGACGGCGGACTCCGTCGGTGGTCGCCGCGTACTCTGATTACCACGATTACGATAAAAATGCACTGCGCTATCGTTTTAATGCCGCTTTAAAAATAACCGCGTAATAGTCAACCGCAATAGCAATGGACACTAAAAATAAAATATCATGTAGACAGTGCCTTAGCCTGACGTCCCTGAACATTCGGAATATTGCCCGGTCATTACGAGGGGATACGATGCAAAGCGCTCTGGAATCTCCATAGACTATACTATTAAATCGTCCGGTAACCGTCCGATTTACATTTGTTTTCTTTTAATAATACAACATACTGATCAGCCCTAGAATAGGTTGAGAAAGAATTCAATTTACTTAATCGTCCCTTTAGAATTTAAAACTTAAAGTATTATCATAAATATGTAAAGATTTAGTTAATACTTTGGTAAAATTATATGCTTTCAGGCGCCTATAGGCTTAAATCATAACATCGCGCGCCTAAATATTCTTTGGCAAAGGACAACCATGCAAATTATGATGATAAAGAAAAAGATTCCAATGACAGCTTTTCCGAAACTTAAACGTCGATGTTATCCAATTTATCTTGTAACATGCTCACCTAACGCTCGCTCCTCACGAGATGCTGCGGCGTCGAATAGAGCAATTGCGCTCTTACGAGTAACTCGAGCGAATCGAGCGGTTGATAATTGCGGTGGCCACCGTTCCCTGGATTAAACAAATTATTACCTCCATCACGCTCCGAGGATCGACGCTAACAGACTGTATCCGGCCATTCGCGATTAGCATCGTCACCTGATTGCGGGCGTCGTTAAATTTTACCCCTACTTGTATTTGGGTGATTCAAACTCAAAGTCTGATTTTGAAGGACAACTAAAGTTACAAACCATTTGTCTAGACAAACATTGATGACAGATTCAATTGCATTATTGCTTCGGAAAGATTTTGTTCAATAAATATTTCTCCGCTACGTAAAAAAATACAGAAGAGTAGGTAATTAGTCGTAGAGCCAAAAAAGGCTTTGATTCTAACATTAATATCTTATTGACAGTCAAACTTGATTTACTTTACACAAAGCAGCTACCCTTTCCCAAACCGCAGAGCATGGCCTCAACCATGCAACTAACCAAACAATATCATTTGCTTTTGTATCAATATTATTTATCTACAAACAAAGTAGCACGTGCGGTGTTAGCGTATCTAGAAAACAGTCAGTCCTTAGGAACCTGATCACGTTTAAGGATAGATTTCCTACAACGTGTTCTTCCAAGTCCCGTATCTGTCTCGGATAACAACAAGTTTCTGCTTTAGATACGATAATCTCAATCGTAGCCAAAGGATAAAATGATCCTTGAGGAATATTTAACCTATGCTAAGAAAAAGCTGACGTGAATCGATGCAACAAAAAACTCAGAGCTAAGTATAGGGTTAAATCTAAGTTGCAAAAAGCGCTTCCATTTTGTTTTTGCTCGTGTCTACTTTGTACTTGATAGTTAGACAAGACAATAAAAGAGTGTAAACTCACAAAGCATTTCATTTCAATTACCTACGTGCTGAAGACCCGCCTTTCGGCAGGAGATTTATGATCTCATCGTGATTGATGGTGCATCTTACCGGGCTCAATTTGCGCACACGCCGGTGATTCCTTTGCAGTGATTCGACTTTCATTACAATGTTTATCCTTAATTTTTTTATCCTCCATACGACCGCAATTGCTAAAAATATTATGCCCGTTTAGCAGCAATTTTGGTAATTCTACTCGCGGCTCTACCCTCAGTTTGGTTCATCCAATTATTTATGATCCTTAAGGAATAACGTATACTTTCTTAACAATTTCAGTCGGTGTGATATTTAAGCTATGAAAAGTTTCGGAAAAACATGATTAAAAACAATAAAAACTCAATGATACATTAGTACCAACAGATAGAAATGATAAATGATCGCACCATAATAACTTTAATAACACTCTAAAAAATAATGATTCTGCTCAAAGGTAACAATAGCGTGCTGTTGAATTGGCAGATCGAATCGTCATGACTTTGTTGGCTTTTGAAAAACAATGTTAACCTCGCCTTAAAAGCGTAAGTAATTATAGTTCACGACGTCAGTCATCACACGAATAAGTAGACCGTGGAATCATCATCGTCAGCGTCTTATTATACGACTTGAGTTCATGAACAAGATGATATGGAGTCACCGCACGTAATAAAAGAAAACGTAGCTCACATTTAATCGAACAAGCTACGATGTGAGGGCTGCAACCATCTGTATAGTAGAGCTTTAACTATTGCTACTACATGCTCTACCTAGACGATAAAAAACATTA